GTGGTAATTATTAATTTAATTATTAATCTGATTTCTGAATTAATAGTTTAGTGTAATTTTTATGAGACTGATCAATCGATTATTGGTTATCGTTCTTATTCTCAACATTCTTTGCTAAAGAACTAGTCCACACACAGTAACAGTACAGTCTTTGTCTAATTATTCTCAACAGAACTATATTTTATTAATGTTGTTCTATAATTATTATAACTTTTATTGTTGCTATCATTAGTTTAGTCATATACTATGTACAACGGTTAGTTCTAAGACATTTTTCACAACTGTAACTCGTGTTTGTGACAACCATTATCAACAACTCAGTTTTATTACAAATCCCATTTAATGTGTATAGACCTCTCCCTGTATTGCTCTGTAAATAGGACATTTATACAAATGAATAATAAAATAGTTAATGTGGTCTTTCTTTCATCAACCTAAACACTCACCTTTACTGATGTGTTCATTTTTAATTAATAATTAGTAAAGTAATAATTATTGTTATATTATTGTTAGTTAGTTACTCAAGTACAAAAACAAATGAAAAATAAATAAACATACATTATATATATAATACACATAAATCAGAGTAAACTCTAACTGGAATGATCTTCTGTATAACATTAAAAATGTTTATTTTAAAAAAGTGAAGTTTTTCTGACCTGATGATCCACTGAGGGAAGAAGGTCATGTGTTGTTGGTTTAGTGTCCTCAACCTGGCAACCCAGGGAAGTTGCTGCAGGGTTTTAAATTTGCTGCAGGTTTTAAATTTGGACTGCAGTTCCCATTTTAAACACTTGCTGTCAGTTTCCGGCACAGTCTGCCAAGTTTGAGCCTTGAGTCAACAGATGGGTGAGAAGTCTGGGCATTTGTCCACATAAAACTGTGCCGTGTTGACTGCTGTTATTATCAAACTGCCAGTAAAAAAGTAAAAGTAAAAGTAATCAGCATTATAAACAAATATTAAACCTTTAAATTGTATTTTATTCTAAATTATTATATTTATTTTATTTTTTATTTTTTTACTGAGAGACACTTAAGTCACAGGTGCATTTGGTTTTACTGCTCTCGGCACTTTGCACACTTCACATAACTCATACACATCTCATCCTTCACTTGTTCCCAAAATGCTGCTTTCTTGTTAAAAAAACGTTTTGTGGCTTTATTTAAGTATCTCTTAGTGACAGACTATCATACATGGTTTTATCATCATAAGATAAGAGAGTTAAAGTGAGAAAGTAGAACGTTTTTGTTTCACATTATATTGTACATTCGTTCCTGAAAATATTTATTAAGTATTTAAAATGATTTGTGACAAAAGGAAATTCAAACATACTCTAAATTGTAATGTGATTAAATAGCAGAGTTTTACTGGATAATTCAAAAGCTCTATAACTACTTGTCATAATCATGAAGTAATAAGATTAGATAATATTACTTAGCTACTATCACTTTACTTGAGGGGGCACAGATATAGTTACCAGTTATTAAGTAAAAGTTACTAAGTTAATCAGGAGCAACTCATGAAGAAAAAGGTCAGTGTGTCTATTCACAGATATTTATTACCAGTAAGTAATCATTACTTGATGATTAATTTTTCATTATCCACTGGTCCTCCATTAGTGATCATTATCAGGTCGTTCCTCACTTAATGAATATAAAATGTATATATAATATTTTGTGTGGCATGTTTAATGTGGCCTTATAACTGTGTGTAAGACAGTAAAACAGTTAAGATTGATTACAATACAGATACAGTACTTTACAGGCAAAGTCTAACATGGTCCCTGTTTGAAAGATTTTAGCGCGGCATTTGATAAAAGACCCCTGTGTCCCCTGTGTCACTGACATAGAGGTCACATCCATTATAATGGCTGGAGAATAGTGGGAAATGTTGCAGGAAAAGCACAGAGCAGGAAACGCTCTAGCAATGTTGCGCAAGAGTGAAACTGAGTCATGGCATCTGTGAAATCCTGTTCATGTTCATAAGAATTGCTGTGTGTCAAGTTGCTGATAAAACATTTCAGCATTTTCAACTCCAAGTTCCTACACTGAACTCATTAGAACTCACTTGTTGCATTGTGAGTACATTGGGTTTTCTCAAGAGGGTTGAATTTATTTCGGTCAAAACAACAAGAATAATAGAACAATAGGACGGTGGTGAAACGATGACTACACCACTGTGACTTTATGTGATTAGTTCTCACGTAAAAGGACATCAGTTGAGAAATATCCTTTATAAATTCACTGATTTGTGATCAAGTTAGCCTGATGTTAGTTGACCCATGTATTTGCTCAGTCCCCCTGAAAGCAGAACAGTACCTGTTCTCATGTGTTTTAACCAAACTGGCCAGATGCAAATATTTATAATGTAACTTTTGTGTTCAGGTAAACTCACCCAGCTAAATCTTTGTCAGGTGTCCAGACTAAGAGCTAGAGTGGCGCACATAGATCCATGCCAATCCATGTTAATCACATATCAATAATGTATTAAGTAACAGTGAATTAACACTGATTATCTATTAAGGGTCCGGTGTGTAACATTCAGAATGAACTATTGGCAGAAATTGAATTTAGGCCTTTATTTTAATTATAATCATGTGTAAATAAGAATAGTTAGATTTTACTACAGACACAGAGGGTCGGCTTCCATTGAGTCGCCATGTTGAACCGCCGTGGTTGCACAGTTGCTCAGAAGAGACAACCATAGTTTCTCCTGGGCACTTGGAAGGAGAGGATGAAGCGAGGGACTGTCTGCAACATTTACAGTACATATAAAGTCTGCGAATACACTGCTAGATGCCACTAAACGTGTGAATGAATCTCATAAAGCCAGAGTGATTTATAATGTGTTAATGGGCAACAACAGAAATGCATATGAATTCATGACCCACGCATTAAGTATCACCAACTGGGAATACCCTGACATCATGGTTATTTCCACAGTTCTGGGAACGGGAGTCAGAGAAACAGACTATGCTCATTTACGGCAGTTATACAGTCCAGCAGCTCCATCCCTTGGGGTTCTTTAACTTTGCATAGTTGCCAGTTATATGGAGGGGAGGGGTAAACCAGCGCTGGGGATTAAAGCTCTCTGTTCATTGAGAGTAAGTGCGCACTGAGCTGCAGCAGCAACAGTTCCTTTAGCAGCAAAGTTTCCTTGCACAGAAAAGGTTAATGGCTAAACACAAGCCCTGGGTGGTGGGCTGCTTTATCTTGGCTGGTTTAATTTGCGCTGTTGCCCTCGTTTGTCTGTGCATCTCCTCACTTGTGGACGGAGGATGTCCCGGCGGCAGTTTCAAGCGCGCTGCGGTGTCCGCAGACTCGCAACGTTGTTCCGAGATCGGCAGGTAAGACACACTTTCTGACACTTTATCTCTGGGGGGGGGGGAAATGCTCTGATTGGGAGAAATCAGAACACTATTTTGCATGACACACTATCTAAAATCTAAAATAAAAATAATAATAATAATAATAGAAAAACAGGTTAATTTTTTTTATTTTTTTTTTAGACATAATGTTTTTATTTCCAACACGTGTTTCTTTATTCACATACTGACTTTAATTATTCAGAATTATGTAGGCTATCAGGCTACACGTCCCTGCTCCTGCGGGTGAGATAAAAAGCTGAACTGAGCAATGGGGTAAGCTGTTTAAGAGATTTGATAGGCTCTGTTTGAAGAATAAAGATAATACCTGCAGTAATGTGTGCAGACAGGCCTTGATTCTACTCACCTCTTGTTGATTTATTTTATAAATCACCCTGTTGAATGTGATTGTAGGAAATAAAAACAGGTCGCCAAACCCACTCACTGATCTAATATAGAGTATAGACTTGGCTCTTTCTCTGATGGACTGGAAGATTTGCCAAAATGTGAACTCAATCAATCTGTTATCATTGTAAATCCGAATATAGTCGAAACGTGTTTTCACTGGAATACGCTTGCCCTTCCGGCTTTTGTATTCAGAGTGTATTGTCCTCTGCCAAATTGGACAGGGGTTCATTTAGCAGCTCACCACAGAGACAATGAGCTCCACTGAGGCAACATGACCCTTTGACTTATTTTTTGTTTTTTATGGTCAAACTAAAGATGCTCTGTCGGGTCTTTCAATTTCATTCCCACTTCATTATATAATAATAATAATAA